TCAATGCTTAAGTGGTTTTCAGTACAATGTGTTCTAACAAAAAAAAACAAAACTGCTCACTTGACTGACAGGTACAGCATGATGATGGATAAATTAAACATGAAATACAATAGGTCAAAGAAGGAATGAGCATGAATTGAGGAAGATAAGGGCTTTGGATAAATTAGCTTAAAGGGACGGGGTGGGGTGTCAGACTGCAAATGCTCTTGACTGGCCTTGGCTCTCCAAGAGCTCCAAACTGTCTGGAAATTAATGCAATGTGGCTAACAGTTAACACTGTATTCATGTCTGTGTAAATCTTTTAAAATAATTATTACAACCTAAATTCAACCATGTAAACAGCACTACACACAGTACAGACCTGCCCTGAAAAACAATATGCAAAACTGAGATCTGGCACTGTATCATTTTGTAATGTTAATTCAACCTAACAGTCCCACTCCCCAACCCGGGCCTACACCCTCCCCCACAAAAACAAAACAAATCTAATAAAGTTGTGCAAGAAATGGCAGGCTTATTCTATCTGAAAGCTTAAAAAAAAAAAAAAAGTACACAACATGTAGCCAGGTTCAAATATTTTGGGGGATTTCTCACCCCAAAAAAGAAATAACCGAAATAACCAAAAAACTGAAGAAAGTGCCTAAAACATGATACAGCATTTTAGAGCCCTTTCAAATACAAGGCAGAGAAAGGTGTAAAGTAGAAAATATCCGGATCTTCAGTAATTTCCAGAAAGGTCCAATTCCTCGCTTGGCTGCAGGGCAGCAGGCAGATCCTCAGTGCTGCTCCTGGAACAGAGCAACTAAGTCTGCTCCTCTGGACACAAGCCCTCGGGCCCTGAGCTGAGCGCACCTCTCCCTTCCGCTTCTCTTTTTCTTCTCTCCATTTCCCACTCCACAAAGGTATCAAAGAGACTCGGCCAGGCCTCATCTTCACTGTAGTTGCTGAGGTCGGGGCCAATCACCTGAGTGAAGTTAAGAAACATGTTCCAAGTGTCCCGGGAGATGCCCTTGATTCCCGAAGGGTTCTCTGTTAGGAAATTTAGCCACTGGTCCAATACCGGAGGATTGTTCTGGGTAAATACTAGTTTCCACAGGGCAATGGCTATTTCACGATGCAGTGACCGCTGCCCTTCTTCAGAGTCCAGGCCAAACTGAAATGTAAACCGGTAGAGATCCTTGAATTTATCTTCTTGTTTGGCTTCTGTTAAGAGGCTAGGGAACCGTGCACAGATCCCATCAATGCTGTCTGCACTTATTGCTCTACAGCCATCAAAAAACTCCTTCCTGCGACGGGTAGGAAAAGGTATGATTAATAAGTAAAAATGATGCCATGTGTGATGAGGCAAAACAGCACAGACAACAGCTAACCCCCCAGCCCTCAGAAGGCAGAGACAGGAGGATCTCTGAGTTCTAGGCCAGCCTGGTCCACACAGTGTTCCAGGTCAGCTAAGGCTGCTATAGTCAGAACTTGCCTCAAAAATAGATAGGTGGGTAGGTGGGTAGATAGGCAGATAGACAGACAGACAGACAGACAGACAGACAGACATAGATATAGAGAAAAAAGACACAAAGGAAAGAAAAGAAAGAAAGGAAGAAAGAGAGAGAGAGAAAGAGAGAAAGAAAGAAAGAAAGAAAGAAAGAAAGAAAGAAAGAAAGAAAGAAAGAAAGAGACAGACAAAAACAAAGCAGGAGAGATGGCTCAGTGGATTAAGAGCACTGGATGGATGTTCTTCCGAAGGAGCCCAGTTCAATTTCCCAACCTACTTGGAAGCTCATAGCTGCCTATAACTCCAGTTCCAGGGGATCTGACACACTTCTGGCCTCCGAGGGTACTAGGTATGCACATCAGAGACATACAATGCAGGCAAGACACCCATACATATAAAATAAAACAGAAGATAAACAATAACAAACATGTCTTTGGGGGCCTGGCAAGATAGCTCAGCAGGTAAATAAATATACTTGCCACCAAGATTGATACCGGATCTTGATTTCAAGAGCCTATGTGGTAGAGGAAACAACTCCCTCAAGTTTGTCCTCTGGCCCCTTCACATTTAAAGCATGGCACATATGCACGCGTGCTCACATTTGTACACGTGTGTGCGCACAGACACAGAAGAAAAATGGAGTTAAAATCTTAACTATATTTTTGTTTCTGTTGTTTTATGAGATAGAGTCTCACTATGTAGCCTAAAGTAGCCTTGAATTCTCTACCCTTGTGGCTTTAGCCTCCTGAGGACTGGGGTTGCAGACATGTACTTTTTTAGCACTTTGCAGTTTATATCAGGGTTTCATACTGATTATCTCAGGGACTTTGCAAGTTGCCAAAGTGATGAAGTGGCTGATCTACCAAGCAGGCCATATAAATTAGCTGCGTTTTAAAGTTCTTTCTGCCAGGCCAGGTATGGAAGCTCACTCCTTTAATCACAAATACTCAAGAGTCAGGCACATCTTGGAAATTGAAGCAACCCTGCTCTACATATCCAGCCCCAGGCCACTAGAGCCATACAATAGTAAGGCCCCATCTTAAAAATAAGTAAATAAAGTCAGTTCCTATTCATAACCCTGCACTCTTCAAACCATGGCCTGCCAGGACCCTGCAATATCCCTACAGATAAACAAACAGCCCCAACAGGGAGCATAACTTGGATAATCTGTGCAACCTGTACCTGATAACTGGGGCCAGCTATCCTCACTGCACATGGGCCTGGCTGAAGGCAACCAACTGAGAGCTAGGAGAGTGGTGGGCAGATCCCCAGAGGCACCCTGTGGACACTGAAATACCTAGCAGACTACAAATGATGTGAACTGACATGTGAAGGAGGAAGAGATGAATGCCGAGTGGCTGTCAATGGGGTTGAGCAGCAGCTTAGCAAAGGCATTTTCACTCTTAGTGTGTGCAGAAAGTCAGTGCCCAATAACTCGGGCTGCCTCTTGGGTCTATGATGAGTTCACATAGGACAGTCACTGGATCAGAACTATAACTCAAAACTATAAATTCAAAACACTTAAGCTTTAGAGAAAATGGCCAGAAAGGGAAGAATGGACCACTTGCCCTAAACCTGTGAAGCCAGCCAAGTTCTATCCTAGCTGGTACCACTACGCAATGTTATTTTCTTTCCTCCTCTGTTCCCCTAATGACATGAAAGCATCTGTGACTGACCTGGTAAATTTGCACATGGTAGCAGCCTGAAACTTCCAGGCCAAGAGCAGCACTCGAAATTCCGTAGGATCAACACATAGGTCATTGCAAAAGCGCTCCATGCCTTCCTCCAAAATTGCATCCTCCCTCTCGTCCTTGTAGCGCCTGAATAGCTCTTCCAACCTCTGCAAGGAAGACTCCTCAGCATTGGTTTTGGACTCCCTCCCAGCATCTCCAGAAGATGTTGGCAGCTGGCAGGCCTCGGTGGCAGCCTCTGCTTTCTTGGTCCCATTAACAAGGATATCCCCAGCTGGTTTGCCACAAGGTGGCACCTGTTCCTCGCGGTGGCCAGCCCCCCGCCTGCTGTGTGACTTGCTGCTGGGTTCCCGATCTCCATTCTTGCTGCCCAAGGTTGATGAAGGATTCTTGCACTTGGTGACACACTGGCCCATGGTGGTGGTGGCCTGGCCTCTAGAGTGGCCCCCTCTGGATCAGATGCCCTCGCTGCCACTGGCCCATGTACTTCAACATGCCATCAGTTAGAGGAGCTAGCCAACCTGGAAGGAAATCACAAGGTAGTCACCTCTAGGCAGAGAAGTGGGGTATAGACACTACACTCCAGAACTGTTCACCAATAACCACTCTAGTTCACTGAGCTATCAATGAGCCAAGGAAGAGACCCTGACCCCAGCTCACCGTTACCTCTCCTGTAAGCCTGCTCTGCTGCTTACACTTGGAAATGGTGGCTAAGGGACATACGGAGAGCCAACATGGGAAATTCCTAGAATCCTAGGTAGCATAGGTTACAAGAGGCTGATTCATTGCAGAACACATCAAAGACTACAGTTCTGACAGAATGTTCCAAAGAAAATATGTCTTGACATCTTTTGCCTCCTCATAAGAAAGTTATCTGGACCTGAGGTAAGCCACAAGTTCATCACCTGGTTCTATCCTAATACTTACATGTTCAGATTTCAACAAAAATTGTTACAGTAAATAATAGATCTTTTCCTCCCAGCATAACACACACAACACCTTGGAGGATAAATTACCTTGGCCTGGTAGCCATGGCAACTAATTGAGCAGAACAATACAGAGGTAGCTAAGTCTACGATAATGGTAATGGATGGAGCTGGTGACACTCACAACTTAGTAAGAAACAAGGAGAGTTAAAGGAGCCTCACCTCACTACAGCCATTCCTCCTCCCTGCCCTCCCGCAGATTGTCCATAAGGAGTGGAAAATGAACTGAAAGCAGGGCTCCATGATGAATCGCCCATGAAGTCCTCAGCAATCAGGTGCTGGAGCTATTTTCAGGTCACTCATGCTCCTGAAAGCAACCCCTCACCTACGCTCTATAAGGAAGCCCAATAAATACACTGGTTTTTCTGTCAAGTTGGATTCAGCAGAATAAGGGAAAAAGGCCATATCCAAGCAACCTGTAATCTCATAATGGTCTAATGGTGAGGGAAACCATGGTGTCAAAACTACAAGCAGAGTGAATTGTGTCTGATCTCTTTGGATTCACACAGCTGTACTGTCCTAGCTCCACCTGGCTCCACCTATATGACGCCTGTACTCCAAGTACTTTCCCAACCTAGGTACCTCTCCACACCCAACATTATCTCTAAGACAGAAAACTGACAGATCAAAAGATTACACTGACACTGAGCAAATTCTTCAATATGTATTATTTGTTGTAATTAAGTTTTTATATGAACTGCTAGAAATCTGTGTACAAAAGCAGAAGTGATTTCTAATAATGTCTACTCAGCACTTCCCTGTCAACTAGTTTGCTATAATAGAAAATCCAATTATAATTCAGTACTTGCAAAATTCTGCCAACTGTTAGAACAATGGCAGCCACTGACTGTTAATGTGTAGACCAAGAGCCAGAAGTGTAACAAGGAAAGCAGAGACCAGACAAAAATCAGTGTCAGTCCGGTGTGGGCCTTCCACTTCTTTCTGGTTTTTAGAGACAGGGTTTCTCTGTGTATCCTTGGCTGTCCTGGAACTCACAGAGATCCACCTACCTCTGTCTCCCCACATGCTGGGATTATAGGTGTGTGCCACCGTGCCTGGCAGGCCTCCTACTTTTAAAGAGCCTTCATGGCCCTTTCATGGTGCAAATTCAGAGCTCTTAAAAGTCTGGTATTGGGGCAAATGGCAGCTGTTAAGAAAGGCTGAATAAATAAAAACAAAACAAAACAAAAAAAAGCAGTTTACAAACAGGGCCTGGATAAACTGGAGTTACTTTCAAAAGGAATCTCCCTGTAAGGAAGCAGTGAGTGGAGTCATCTGCAAGGAACCACAATCATTCCAGTCATGAGGCAGACTCCTATAAGGGTGTGTCCTACTCTCCACTCTCAGAAACAAAAGACATGTCTACACATGCCCTCAAAAGAACTGCAGTTTCAATTTGCTTAGACACACTTAGACACACACACACACACACACACACACACACACACACACACCCTTAAAAACTGTTAAAAGTGCTTTGGCTATGAAAAGGGACAGACCTAGGCATGGCTTCTCACAGGCTGTTCATACTTCAAGCATGTAGTAAGTCATAAGTGAGACCTATTCACATTGCAAAAGGAAAGGGGTTAATTCTTGGAAGACCATACAAGAGAAGCAACTGTTCCAGCAGAATTATCTCCAAACAAGAAAGACTGTAGCATTTGGAGGGTCTGCTTTCCAGATTTGTGTTTCTAAAGACTGGATTGCTGAAAGAAACAAAAGGCCCAAACTTACACAAACCCCACATGCTCGCAGACTGGCAATTCTAGTTCCCAGGCTCGCTGACTCACCAGTGTTTGCTGCTCAGCTCCTGCTGCAGGAGGCCCAGCACCCGGGTGAGATAAGAGGATTTCCTGCCCTCCATGTGACCCACCTACCCAGGTCACTCACCCCACCCCCACTGGACAGATGCTTCAGTACAGCAGCTCCCTCCAAAGCTGGGCGCTGAGGCCTGTAGGTAAGGGCAGAACAGATGGAGCTCCCATAGAGGCCTAAATCCCATTTACTCTGCTGCGCCTCCATGTAAAAGCATCTTTTGATGACCTGATACAGCGGAACCAGTTGAAACCTGAAGGCTTTTAACATGCTCAGCAGATGAGAAAAAGAGGGGAAAAATCAATGTAGACAGATGATCAATCACCCAGTGACAGAAGGTCGGCTTTCTCCTTTCTTTGAAAGGTCCCCATTCTAGTGGGATGGAGTAGTGGTCTCAGGTCAAGAGGCAGTATTTTCCTGCCTCTGTATTGCTGTCTGTACTGCTCCTAGATTGCTCTTTGATCTCCCCTTTCTCTGGGCTTCTCCAGGTCCAGTCACAGCAACCAGCCCTGTGTTCAAGAGGCTGGCAGAACCTTCAGTCTTTCTAAAGTAGAAGGTCTCACTGGCTGTTGGCTAATAACAGCAACCATCAATTACTGAGCATTTGAATCAGGGCGAGGCTCTATGATAACTAAGCACTTTAAGAACATTAACCCATTTGCCCTCCTCACCACAGCCCCATTTAAAGACAAGGAAACTGAGGCTCTGCATATAGTAAACTTATCCAACATCACAGAACCTGGAATGTTTAGATCAAGAAACCATGACCAGTACAACTGAGCCCACATCTGGGAAGCACCATGGGACAGCACACTGAGCCCTGAGTTCAGGCACAACAATACACCAACCTCAGAATAGCAGATCTTAACCATCACCACAAGGAAAAAACACCATTATGTCTATACCCAATGATCAAGGACATCCTTAGCACACTGCCCTCTCCAGGGCCAGGCCAAGCCAAAGGCCATGATACCAGCAAGGATGATGCCTTTGGGCTCAGCTCCCCAACCAGGTGAGGGAGGGGATATGTTAGTCTACGAGTAACCTTGCCCCAGACCTGTTCCATCACATCAGTGTGGTGAAAACTCCAGCCATGACACTGAACCCTAGCTCTGTGATAAACTGAATTTCCCAAATCTGTGGACATGGTTATTGCACAGTCAGTCAAGGAAAGCAGATAAGAGTACCTGGCACATACAGCCAGCACTCCCCCACAGTCATTAGCTCAAGTCCTTTTTTAAAAAAACGAGTTTTCACAGCTGCTGTTGAGGTAGTTCAGTGATAAAGGTACCTGCCACCAGCTCAGGGACAACCTGAGGTCAATCCCCAGGACCTATAGTGGAAGGGAAGAACATACTTTGGAAAGTGTGGTCCCAGACCACACACAAGATAGGTGTGTGTGCGCACACATGCTACACATACACACTCTCTCACTAATAATAAATTTTTAAAATGTTATTATCAATAATAATAATAATAATAATAATAATAATAATAATAATAATAATAAAAAAGGCCAGGCATAGTGATAAACACATTTAATACTAGCACTTGGGAGGCAGACACAGGTGGGTGGATCTCTGTGACTTCAAGGCCAGCTTGACCTACATAGTGAGACCCAGTCTCAAAAAAAAGGGTCTATCACATATCTGACCATATTCAAAAGTCCCAAGGCTCCAACACATAAGAGAATCAGACTCTCCACAAGAAGGGATTTCCTTGTGATTGATCCTCAATGAAATCAAGCTGTGCCTGGTGGATACTTTAAATTGGTAGCCATGTCCCAGTCCCAGCCTGAGGCTTTCACTTTCCTTTTTCATCCACCTCTACAGGTCTGCAAAGGCAAGCAGGATTTCTAGCTTTCTAGGCAATGGTGGCTTCTTCACAGGTGGCTCTCCTCCCCGCCCACTGCCACCAGCTGATGGCCTCTGCACAATTTAAACACTCCAGTGCCAAGTTTCCAAAAACAACACAATTACTAGTAATGAAGATCACCTTCTTCTATTTGCTATCTTGCATATAGCTCTGTGAAATAATTATTAAGTTTCAGGAAACTAAATGGCAGCACACTGAAGTCAAGGAGCCTACCTAGGCTGGGAGAAAACAGTACAGTAGGAGAGGTTGGGTAAAATCAGTGACAGCATCTATTAACCAAACCTGTCTGTCAGCAGCTCATTCCATTGCACCTCAGAGGACTGTTGAGTGGAGGAAATGAGATAATCCACGTATTTGGTACATAAAAGCAGTCAGTGAAGGGTCTGCCTCTGTAATCACTATTATTACTGCTATCAAAGTCATTGAGAGACTCAAGCTTCCTTTTCCGAAGGAGGTGTTCTTCAGTAGCCAGCCCAGCTCTACCATGGCAAGTCAAATGTGTCTCACAAGTAACTGCTCTCCTGCTTTAGCTATGTGACACAAATGGGTCAAACAGAGACAAAGATACGGAGAGGTAGGATACGGGCTGGAAAACAAGTGGGGGAGGTTGGAACCATTCATACATACAATAATTGGGGAAAATATTCTAAGCCTTTATACTCCTTTGGATATTTATTTACCAGATAAGAACTTTATTCAGCTTACACTGGATCAATATCAGTCCCCAGATTTTCTCCTTCAATCTTAGCTCCAGCTGCTTTTGCCTCCTTCCCTCCCTTCTCTGCACATCAGCCTCCAGAAGCCTTCCTCTGTGCCAGGGCTGCCATTCCTGAGGATAGGCTTGGCTGCTTGCCCAGCTCAGCCCCAGCCTCAGGCCTGAAGCAGACACTGCTGGCCCCAAGGGCAATCCTTAGAGGCCTGGGGTCCCTGGAGGTGCTCTAGCTCCAGCTGCCTATCTCTTTGGTAGTTCCACGAGGTAACAACCAGGCAAGCCTGTCTTCAAATGAATTGCTCTTGGTGGTTCAGCCAACCCACAGTGAGGACCAACCCAGACTGAGACCTGCTGCAAATGGAGACAAGAAAAGGAGGGAGATAAGAGAATTGCAAAGAAAATCTGCAGGGACTCGGAAGAACAGTGGGCCCAGGGCTACAAATGCACTTTTATAACTTTTATTTTTATTATAAGCCTAAAAAATAATAGCTTTTATATATAGCTTTTATATATTTGGAAACTATGGTTTCCTAATTACTACACAATAGGACTACAGAAGAAAACCATCGTGCAAGACTTCACTGAGATTTCACAGAGAGGTAGGTCTTGTTTGGGCTCTTAAATGACAAGCAGAAAATGGAATGAGAGAAGGCCAATTTGGTTGGTCATGTAATTAACATACAGTAATAACTATATTTTAAAAATTATGGGGAACTGGGGAGATTGGCCCATCAGTAAAGTTCCAGCCACAAAAACCATGATCATCAGCACCCATGTAAAAGCTGGGCGAGGTAGTCCATGTCTAATCCCAGTAGTGGGGGTAAAGACAGGGAAGCCTACAGGCCAGCCAGCCTAAATTAATAAGCTCCAAATTCAATGATAGACCGTAACTAAGAAAATGATGGAGAATGGCACCTGATTGACCTCTGACCTTTACACATGCATGCATATACCACCCATACATATACAAAGTATTACATGTATTTATTGAGAATGTTGTGAACTGTCACACTTAACTCATTACATCTCTGTAAGTTAGATAACATTTTCTTCATATCATAAAAGAAGAAAGTGAACAAAATTCAGGGAGTTGGCTTGAGGTTACCAGTCTGACTCTACACTCTCTGATCTCTAGCACTAGCCTTGCTTATTCTTCTCTGCTGTAATGTATGCCAGGGCATGCCAGCCCCCACAAAAGATGCTGAGGGCCCAGGAAGAAAATGTTCTTTATCAACATGGAAGTGTACTCCAAAGGATGAGTCATGTGCAGAGTAAAGTCTGAGGATGCCTTGGACTGTCATCCACGACTCCTATAAGCAATGTATCTCTTCAACAAGCCATCTGGCCTCTCCAAATGGTTTCTGTAACTCCAACTAACCAAGGGGGCTAAGACTTGTCTTTTCAAAGAATTATATTCTAGGGCTACTTCACCTTTTTGGTATTTAAAAGAGACGGTAGTTCTAACACTGAACTCTCTGAAGATAAGAAATTGTCATCCTTAATGAATGGCTTCCTTGCTTCTTCTTGCTCATACTATCAGAGCTAAGCCCAAAAGGAGAAAAACAGGTGACTCCAATCTGAACAATGGGATGATTGACACCATGGAGTTTACAGCCTTCCCTTTCCTTCACCATTTTAGCTAGAACTCTTCAGGGTC